CGCATTTAGCTTCTGAAACATCCTGGCTGAAGGTCCTGATGTGTTCTTCAACATATCAACTTATTTCGATATGAAGTAATTTGACATATTGAAAATTGAATTTGAACCAAAATCGGCCAGAAATTATGGGTCAACCCAATACTTGCTTTCGCGACCGCAACGGCGAGCTTGGATCTCCCAGAGATCATCGTAGAATTGTTGACTTTTTGGCGGTGTCGGAAAGTTTTTATGCAGGTATTTTTTTGGAATTGCATTTCGAGTCAACTGATTTTCGGATATCCAAACAGAGCCAGTAGTGCTTTAGTGGTAGGTGAGCGGAAGACTGCTTAGAGCGAATCCAGTCTTGGCAGTGTGTTTCCAATGTTGTTGTTGACTGGCTACACACGGTGATGAAGGAATTACGAGAGGCAGCCTTTCTTCTCGTTCTCTGAGTCGTCAGTTTCCAAACGGTGGCGCGGCTAACACGACTTTGGAACTCTCATGACCGGTTTTCGGGAAAGGGCCACATTGACGGCATTCATATTTCCGTTTTCGTCCAGCTTACGGATTAAGCGCGTGGGTTAGTTCGCCAGTTCTTTAGCTTCGAAGGCCAAAATGAGGGCTATGCGTTTTGGAGATGTGTTCCTGCCTGGTGCCTTTGACGTCGCCATCTGAAGCATGACCTTTCAGCGATTGCAGAAGCTGTAGATATTTCTTCTCGAATAAAATTCAGTGCGGAAGTACATAACGCTTCAGTGCAGAGTTCACCCGCTGAGTGTAAACAGTCTAGGAATGCCCCTTTTGCTTCAGTGTTGTTGGAACATCAAGCGTCTCTGACCAGTTTCATATACATTAGAAGGAACGTAAGGGAAAAAACGACTAAACTGCCGCGTTTTAATCACCTGGCGAAGCACCCATCCTCCTGTTTTTCCGACATACTTGACCTACGTCAAATCATGGTTGCCAATGACATTGTGGACTACATTTATCTATGAGCTAGTTTTTCAATTTTTTTGAGAAAGTATCTACAGTTGCAACTTTTCGATATTTAGGATTGATCCCGAAAAAATGGCAGCTCTTGGTGGTGGCTCGAGAGACGCTGATCAAAATGTAAAACTTGGACCAGAATGGAAGTGGTGTGGAATGGCTACACCTTGTGGTCCTGGTATGTCTTAAGCACGTTGTTAACTCTGCAGCTCGCTACTTCTTGTTGTTGTGTTGTGTTTGTTTCGGCGCCTCATTCTACTGTGATGAAGACCTTTACACGATATTCAGATGAGATTCCAATGCATTTCTTCACGGGCGAGCATAAGGACGATTGGCCTCGTCTATGTGTGGGAGGACGCATGGTATTCGACCACGATTTGAATGGTGCTGGTCGTGGTCTCAATTTAGTATCCATTGAGCCTAAGACTGGTCGAGTTTCATCGGTGGCGCACTTTGACACTTATCAAGATGGTATGTTTTATCATGGTTTAGAAATTAAAATAGGATTTCTTATGACTCTCCTGGCGGCGCGCGT